AAGTATTTGTTCTTAATACCAGCAAAGAGACTGGTATACTGCTGCTGTGGTCAAGAAATTACCAATATAACTACCAAGAGGAACAAATAACAGGCCAATAAAAGTGGAGACGCGAAACTCCAGTTAGGCAAAGAGATACTTGCACATCTGGGAAACCCTATAAACTACAACTACTTTACGCTACAAAAAAGACAAACAGATTAAGAAATGATCAAATAAAATGTAGGATGCATGGGATGATAGTATAAATTTAATGCAGTTAGGCAAGGGGAAAAAAAGAAAAGAAAAAGAGCTTCCCTGCATTCTGCTGACACAAACACCACTAGTCAAAAATAGAATAACATGTATTTAATGTTCAATCCCCTTAAATAAAAAGTTGTTTACAAAGAAAATATCATTTCATATGCTGTTAGAAAGATGGAGTCTCCTCACTTTTTCATGAAATGCTCTGCACACCTGTTTATAAAATATGCACAAATGATCACTGATCCCACCAGGTATAGAAGGGTCAAGACTATTGGAAAACCAGGAATGTCAACTTTCCAATACCACAAGGCAGAAGTCCCTAACTTTGTCATTCTGTAAGAGAAAGATCTTCTCATGGATGCACCTCCTCTATACCTCACCTTCACCCCAGGGTGATCCAGAAAAGATCCTAAAAATACCTGGCCTAAGGCATGTTTCTGAGCTAATGATTTAGGGCAGCAGTTCTCAACCTTTTTTGTACTGGAACCCATTTGCCAAGATGGATGGCTTGTCCAGACCCATTCCACCCTTGCCCTTCGGGTGCCCTACCCCACAGTCCCTTGCCCCCTTGGCCAACTAGTGCCCCTCACACCCAAGCCTCCAACTGACTGCAAGATCTACCACAAGAGGCTCTGAGATCTACTGGTGGATCAAGATCCACTGGTTGGTGACCACTGTACCAGACTGTGGAGCAGCATGGTTTTTAACCCTTAAAAGTACCATCTTAAAAAAATGGGGGGGGGCAACCTTTTGGGCAGGTGTTCCACAAAATAGCCTCGGACCTCCCTGAACGCTCTGATTCCCCCTCCCCCCTGACCTGCTGCTCTGCTTTCTGCTCCCTGCCCTGCCTGCTGCTCCCTGCCCGATGTGCCCCCTCCCCAGCCTGGCGCGCGCCACGTGGCGCAGGCGGCACTTACAGTCAGCTTTCCGCGGTAGGTGCTTCGGCGCCCCCTGCACTCGGCCGGGTACACCTTCAGCTCCTTGCAGATGCTGGCCTTGGGCACCATGGGGGAGCTGATGACGGCGCTCACGATGGCCAGCGCGATGCGGTCCTCCTTGAAGGCGAACTCCAGCGGAGGGATGGCCTGCGCCGGGGACACAACACGCGCGCTGCACAGCCCGGTCGAGGCCGCCGAGGGGCCCCGCG